TGAGGATGGTAACCGAGAGGGGGGGGGGGGGACATGTAAATTAGAAGCTTTCGGCTGTACGCACCTTCTCCATTAGCAATCGTGTTACAATGAAATAGGCAGTGCTGCTCCTGGATGAACTGGCCACTCAGCTTGATGTCAACATCTACCCGACCCACCCTGCGGGAGGAGGCAATGATCAGATTATGATGGGAATGATCAGGAAATCTATCCCCCATGTCAAGTCAAGTGATATTACCGTGTGACCCCCTCCTTTAAGTGGTAGAGCAGGCACTCCGACATAAGCGGGTCTTCATTCAGGTTGACCAGGTGAGGGATCTGCACACAAGACAAGACAAGAAAATGATTTTGTATATTATCACACCATCATAGCCACAGGTACAGAACACACCCCGTCTGTATGTAGATATCAAATGCTCTTTAAAGGAGAACTATGGGGGTTACAGCTCGCGGTATACTGAGAAGCCGCAGCTGAAGCGGATCCCGACAATTATGTCTGGATCCGCCCAGCTGCGTGAGTGACAGCTGGCTCTGCCTATCTAGAGGCAGAGCCATCTGAACCCGCTCCCTCCCCCGTCCGTTCCGCCAGTCAGCGCTGGAGGATCGGAGCGGGGAGAGGGGAATCCAGCCCCTCCCCTGTCACGGCAGAGAGCCGTGACAGGATCGAGAGGTGAGCGACCTGAGCCGACCTGTGACAGTCTCATTGTCACGGGTCGGCTAGAACTATGAGGTGAGTGAAAAGCACCCCCCTCATAGTTCTCCTTTAAGAATCCGTTGGGGTGTGATTATAGCGCAAGGAGTGGCGTTTGATTGGAGCGCACAGAGTAGAGCAGAGTTTGGGGTGCATGGCGTGGAGTTCGGCCAGACTGCACCAAGTGGCGTTTGATTGGGGTACATGGAGTAGAGTGGAGTTTATTGGCGTGCACAGACTGGGGTAGGGTTTGATTTGAGCACACAGAGTGGAGTGGAGACTTACTGGAGCACACGGAGTGGAGTTTGATTGGAGTATACGGACTGGGGTGGAGTTTGATTGGAGCACACAGAGTGGAGATGTACTGGAGTGCATGGCGTGGAGTGAAGTTTGATTGGAGTGCACGGAGTGGAGTTTGATTAGAATGCACGCAGAAGAGTGGCGTCCGAATAGAGTGCACAGACTAGAGTAAGAGATTTACTGGAATGCACTCACTGGAGTGGAGTTTCAATGGAGTGCGCAGAGGAGAGTTTATTGGAGTGCGCAGAGTACAGTGGGGTTTGGGGTGCATGGAGTGGAGTTTGACTTGACTGAACCAAGTGGAGTTTGATTGAAGTGCATTGAAAAGAGTGGAGTCCGAATGGAGTGCAGACTAGAGTGGAGTTTGATTTGAGTGCACGTAGTGGAGTTTGAATGGAGTGGAGTTTGATTGGAGTGCACGGAGTGGAGTTTGACTTGACTGCACCAAGTGGAGTTTGATTGGAGTACATTGAAAAGAGTGGAGTCCGAATGAACTGCACGTAGTGGAGTTTACACGGATGGGAGTGCAGTTTGATTGGAGCACACAGAGTGGAGTGAAGTTTTTTGGCGTGCACGGACAGGAGTGAAGTTTGATTGGAATGCATTGTCACTATGATCACGTGGGCAGGAAAGACAGGGAAGCAGGAAGGAAATGGACTGTCAATCACGATCATTGCGTCACCCAGCACGATGTGCGGGAGGGTCATGTGGAGCATGTGAGAAGATTTGAAAGAAAGGTTTTGTTTATATTTATAATGAGTGTCCATGAATTAAAGCGCAAACTCCTTTAATGCGTCACATTTTACATCATATTTAATTTTGGAACATTTACAGTTAGGGATGCACCGATACCGGTATTTTGGTACCGAGTACCCATAATTATTTTTCTGTACTCGCCAATACCAATTACCGACTAACAGAAGTCCCATTCAGGGAGCCAGGTGGCGTGTAATGGCTCGCCACCCGGCTTCCCGATTCACAAGAAAGTCTGTCCCCTCTTATCTTGTCCAGCCTGTCAACCCCGGGGGCTCTCCAGCCAGAACGCGGCCTTCCTCCGGTACCCAGCCGGAGCCGTCTGGCCGGCCAATCAGAAGGCCGGGCGCCGTGTAATGACGCGACGCCCTGCTGTCTGATTGGCCAGGAGGCTGGCTCCATGCTCCCTCGTCATGAGATGACAAGGGAGCATGAAGCCAGCTTCCCGGCCAATCAGAATGCCGAGCGCTGCGTCATTACTCGGCGCCCGGCTTCCAAATTGGCTAGCTTCCCGACCAATCATGAAGCTGGGCTGCGCGTCATTACACACTGCCTGGCTTCCCCGATTGGCCTGGGAAGTCGGCCCC